GATTTTAATTGGTCAATCAACAAATTGCATGGGTTAAAATTTTGTATTCCCTCCTGTTAATTTTTGTGTTCCCAGAAAGGTCTCTCCTGTTATTTTAATGTGTATATACTTTTTTTTTTTGCGATTCCTTTTATCCAAAATGTCACATCGTCCTGACAAAAAGAATAAGAAAAAAACCGAACAATTTGAAAAAATACCTGAGTAAGTGTTTATCAAAAGAATGGTGGTTATCATCGCTTTAGTTTAATTAAATAAATTTATATCATCTTATTTTTTAGCAATGAGAACAATTATGTCATCAACGATGATAAAGAACCTGAAGACAATGAAGAAAAGTTTGATAACTTTGGTTCATTACCACAATCAAATAAACTAAAAGTAATAATGGAAATATTGAAGTATTGCACTCCTAGCGAATGTCAGTATTTTGACGACTTTAAAGACTTCTTTACGGACAAAAATAATAAATCTGAAAAAGATTTATTAAAAGAAATTGAAACTCTAAAGAAAGAGGTTCTTAAGATGGAGAGGTTCAACTCATACTTAAAAAGAAAATTGGACGAAGAGATGGAAATTAATGAGTCACTACTAGAAGAAAACGATGAATTAAAAAATCAATTTATGAAATGCAAAATATGTCTCGAAGAATCAGTCACACATTGTTTTTCGCCATGCAACCATTTAGTAGCATGTGAAAATTGTGCAAATAAACTTGAAATTTGTGTGATATGTCGTTCCAAGATTCATTCATATACAAGGATTTATATTTAATTTGAAATTAAAATAGAATTATTTAGAAAGCTTTACAAGAAATGATTAATTTCATTACGTTTTATTGAAAATAAAAAAATATTTGCTAATAATTAAATTATAAATCACATTGCCATTACCAAATGATTAAATTTTGATCTCTGAAATTTTTGGTAATACTAATGTTCACTTTGTCTGGTTTTGTTGCAGCATGCCCCATATTATAATTTAACTTTTACGACACAAAATAAACATCATCTAATTAATTAATTTGTTTTTTTATTTCTTTATAATAACCAGTTGGTAAGTATTATATTATAATTTAACTTTTACAACACAAAATA